ATAATTATATATTACTGAGTAATATAAACTGTATCTCAGGACTAAACTATTATTCAGAAATTAAAATGTTCACTTGAAATGTTATTCAAAATAAAAATATTACTTTTCAAAGTCATTATTTTCTAAAGGAGGCATCATAATTATTTAATACAGATTTTATACACATACACAGAGATATATACATACAAACACAAATATCTGCGTTACAGAACAACCGATATTCAGGAAGAAAAACTTTCTCCAGGTGTTTCTCACAGAGTACACATAATGTACAAAGCAGAGTATATTATGTTTTACAATATTGTGTTTTGTCACAGGATGTTGGTTTTACTTACTCGGACTGTGTAATGGATTGTGTTCTGTTTTTCATACTGAGAAACCACTAATGTAAACGTGTGGGTCCCAGGTGTGGTGAGCTTTATCTTAGTCAAATAATGAGGGCTGTTAATTCGAATTCCATCAATGTATGGAGCTGGGTCAACTACAAAAATAAAGTTTACAGAAAAGGAGACTTTAGATTCCTTTTAGAATTTAAGTTTTATGGTTAATGGCAGAAAAAAATTAAACAAGTAGACATTGATTCTGTCTTTAAAATATAATGGTATTAATGAATTAAATTATGTTAACATTAAATAGTTTCTAAAAAGCAATCTTTTGAAATACACTCAATGAGGTATAATCCGTGGTATTTGTCTCATGATGCATTTTTTTTTTTTCCAGTAGAGGATTTTAAAGTTAGGATAGCTCTTTCTCCTGAGGAAAATTTTTAAAAGCTACTATAGATAGGTAGATACATATGTATGTATATGTATTCTAAATTAAATGAACGTTTTTGCCATACTTTATATAACTCAGTGCCTGCCCTCGATACACATACAAGTGCTAATGAGGAAGACTGCCATGCTCTACTATAATTAAAAAAATCTGACATAACCAACAACTTTTCCCCCATCACTGTCCCGTTTGTCTTTGAAAGCCACCTTGAACTGTCAATAGTCGCTTTCTTACCTCACAATCTCTTCTCAAACCACTCCAGTTGGGCTTCTAGTCTACTTCTCACCAAGACTGTTCTGGCCAAGATTATCAATGACTACCAGGATGCTAAATTCAACAGTGTCCTCTCTGTCCTAACCTTACTTGATCTCTCAAATAGCAATGGATGTAGCCGTCCACTTCCTCTCTCTTGAAATATTTTCTTCTCTCGGGTTATGTGACGCTTCACTGCATTGGTTTTCCTCTTACTTCATCAGTCACTCTGTTCAAATTCTTTTGCTGGTAACTTTTCCTTTACTCAATCTCAAACGTCTGAGCATTCAAGGATGAGGTCCTGGGTATTCACCTCTGTATCTACAACTCTCTCCATAGTTGATTTATATATAGTTCATGTCTTCAGATGTCATCTATATGCCTCTGACTCCTCAATTCACATATGTCTTAGTCCTGACCTTACCCCAGAGCCCTACTCAAAAATTCAACTCCCTAGCTGGCATCTTCACTTGGATATCTAATAGGTATCTCAAATTAAACAAAACCAAAAAAGAACTTTTGATTTTACTCAGGACAAATCTACTTCTCCCCACTCCAACTCTTACCCATCTCAGTAAATGTCACACCTTTTTATTGCTCAAGCCAAAAAAAAAAAAAAACAAAAAAAAAAACAGGAATCATCTTTGATTCCTCCTCAACCCCTGTATCTATTCCATCAAGTCCTGGCAATGCTACAGAAACCCAAATCTGTCCACTCCTCTTTGTCTCCACTCCCCAGTCCAAACCACCATTTCTCACATAAATAAAAGTGTCCAAGTGGTTTCTGCTTCCATTTTTGGCCCCCTCCAATGTTATACAAAAAATGTTCTTTAAAAAAAAAAAATTAGATGCCCTTCCCCTGATCAAGACTCTCCAAAGATTTTTCATTGTACTTAGAACAAAATCCAAACCCTTTCCTGTGACTTAGAGCCTCCTGTGATCTGACACCTGCACACTTTTCTGACCTCTTCTGATACCATACCTCCTCCTGCCTACTGGCCTTTTCTCTGTTCCTGAAACACACCAATCTTTCTCCCATTGTAGGATCCCTACTAGCTGCTCCCTCTGCCTGTAATGCTTTTGCCTCTATTTCTTTGTATGTCATTCAGAGTCTTTTTCTCACACAGAGTTCCTCTTATCCCTTCTCAAAGAGGCCTTCCATGATCACCTAATGAAAGCAACCAACGAATCACTAAAACGTGACACTATCTTATTTCTTTATACAATATGTATCGCTGATATTTTTCTTATCACCTGTCTCCCCATAAACCTGTGACAGTAGGGTCCTATTTTGTTCACCAGTGTTTCTCATGCCCTTGAAAACAGTGCCTATCAGTAAGTGATAAAAAAAAAATTGAACGAATGCAAAGTAGTTTCAATACAGTATGTTAAAAGCCTCAGAAGCCCTGCAGGGAGAGATTTGCCTGGCAGAGTCTGGAAAGGTTATTATAGAAGAGATGACATTTGGGCTTGTCTTAACCAGCTTCATTAAGAAGAACAGAATAAAAAGAATATGTGGGTAGAGGGCAGAGAAGAGGGAGACTCCTGGCAGAAGAAAATGCGTGAAAAGAGGGCCAACAAAGGCCTGGTGTACTCAGGGACAGCAAGTATCTCAGTGAGGGTCCTGTGAAAAGCTGGGCCATGAGATAAAGAAGGGCAGGAAGGTTAAGGCCAGAATATAACATAAATATACAATATGAATAAAGTAAATATATAAAAGCCTTACACACCATGCTAAAGAGTTTAGATTTTATCTAACGAAGCATGGAGAACCACGGAATATTTCTGATCGAAGAAAAAGACGTGATTTCACTGTCAGAAATAAAACTTTGACAGAAATGTGTGAAAATGCGGAAATCCCATACTCCTGGAGTCTCTAAATAAAAAACAGAAGTAGCAAAAAACACAAGAAGCTTGAATACTCACCCATCTGTTTGCATGGTTTCTAATTAAATTCTTCACACTACTTACATAAAATAAAGTTTGTCATTTCTCAACATCACATAAATAAAATTTTAATGTTTGACTACTTAAACATACCTGGGTAATAAACTTTTTTCCCATCAGTCTTGTACACAACCATTGTGATAAATTCTCGATTATTTGCAAAATCATCCTAAAATAACAAAGCATCCAATGTGGTTATGAAAATGGGCTTAAAATGCTCCTTATTTAGTGTAAAAAAAAAAAAAAAGAAATCCAATTTCAAGAACATTTCTTTCAGCTATGTAGTGCTTAGTACAGTTTGTTTTTTATGAATTAAGCTTATTTCAGAAGATGATTACACTGTATTAATATATTAAGATTCTGGGGCTATTTAGATTATGGTTACCTTTTAAAGAATTAAACCTAATGAATCAACATTTTCAAACCTCCTCCAGCATATTTTAATATTAATCCCATTAAGATCTAAAGCACAGAGTCAACTCCCAAACCCTCACTAAAAAAGCAGAAGCTCCCTCACATTTTTCTCCAGAGATTATTTTTGAACAAGATTTGAAGTGTATGGTTACAAATCTCCTTAGAGAACAAAATTCATTTATCCAAGAAGACACTATTTCCAGGGCACCTATATAAATGAAACAGGCTAGTGATCAATTTACTTATCTATTTTATAAAAGTCTAATTAAATTTAAAAGAATTTTTGTATGGGATATCATTAGAAGGTTATCAGTACCTTGTCTGTTATGTGTCTACTAAGCAAAACCCACACTGCAGCGCCTCCTTGTGGACACTGTACCTCCAGTTTGTACTGGGGATTGTTGGCCAGGCTATAGGCATCTTTCACAGGTCCTTGCTTCGCATCCCAAGTACTAAAAGATAAAGTCAACAAAGAAAAAAGTAGTAATTAAATTTCTCATAGAGGTAAAATACAACATTTTAAAAAGTTTTGTGTTTTAAAACTATGAGGCTATTGTGTTTTTATTGTTTTTAAAATTTCTGGCATAACCAAGAAGCATAGAAAGAAAGCAACTATTACATGACAGTCATTTGTGGGCATGACAAGAAGAGAGAATACCGGTCTTCCTAAATTAGCGATTACATTTCAAATGGAAAAAACCGAGAGTACTATTAAGCATATTCTGAAATGTACAGAAAGTTACCTGTGAATACATGTTGATTCTTTAAAAAGACCTGGATTCCAACTCAAATAAATCACATCATAATACTGGCATAGATCATCCCATGAAATCCAAAATATCCCTGAAAATTAAACATTTTTCTTAATTTAAAAATATCTTAATAATAAATCATTTAAGTTAGTTAAATATGTTTCACATTGTTAAAGCTTATCTGTTAACATTAAAAAGATGTTTACCATTGTCTATTTTCTGAGCTGTTCGGGGATCAAAGTTTAAATATTTTTGCAACTCTGGAGTCCAGTTTTTTACATCATTTTCACTGTATCTTCCTTTCCAACGTAAGTGACTCCAAGGATTTTTTAACTGGATAAATCGCAGTCCCTATATAAAAAGACAGGAGATAACATTAAACGGCAAAATTTATCATAGTTTCTTTTATGAATTGTATCATCATCTCTAAGAAAGGATAAATTCTGAGTACTTATCAATTCTTTCCTCTCCAAATCAACTTGAAATTAATATTCTATCAGCAACACTTTCATCAGGTCACGTATCTGATAAACTTTAAACGACTGCCTACATCCTAAAGCTATGCTGTCCAGTACAGGAGTCACTAGCCACATGCGGTTATTAAATTCAAGTGTTCAATGACCACACGGGGCTAGCAGATACTACACTGGACGGCACAGATACAGAACACTTCCATCATGGCAGAAAGCGCTACTGGACAGGGCTACCCTAGAGCATCAAGCGTTTCCTCCCCGTTCTAAGGCCACTCTACTCTGGCTCCACTTTATTTCCCAACATTCGTAACTCATCTATCTTTGCCTCTATTCTAGTCTTTCTTCTCACTATTCCATCAACACTCCTTATTCAATTTTGCCTCTAAAAGCATTTGCTCATGCTGTTGTTCCCTTTTCCAGAAGGCCCTCTGGTCCCTTTTAACTACCCTTCCTTTCAGTTCCTCTTTAGCTTCTTACTCCACTGCTTGCCTCACAGTGAAGACTAAACCTGTGAAAAGAACAGATTTTGGAATCAGACTGAAATGGTACCAAATTCTAGCTCCATTATTTGATCAGCTTTATGAGCCTTGGGTGGGTCATTTACCCACTCTGAGCATTTGTTTAACTCATATGTAAAATGAAGGCTGTCTCCTTATAAGATTGTTGTGAATGTTAAATAACATATGCAAAGTATGTAGTACTCATTAATTTCCTCTTCCTTTTAATTATCATCTCCTATAAACCTTATGGAGCACTGGCGGCACAGTAGTGAAGAGCTACAGCTGCTAAACAAAAGGCTCGCAGTTCGAATCCACCAGCCGCTCCTTGGAAACCCCATGGGGCAGTTCTACTCTGTCTTTATAGGGTCTCTATGAGTTGTAATCAACTTGATGGCAACAGGTTTTTTTTTTTAAAAAAAAAATAAGCTTTACAGTGCTAACAATCTACATTACATTAGCTTAAAACAAATATTCTATCTTAAATTGTATGCTACTCATGCAAACGTAGGACTGTTGTATCCCCGATGAGACTGTAAACTCCGTGAAATGGTGACACTATCCTTTTTCAGTGGTCTCCACTAAGCATTATGGAACAGAGTGCTAAGATTGTGGTAAGTTCTCAAAAATACTGGGTATGTGTATTGAATAAACAGAAACATCAAAGACTGTAAATCCAAAAGAATATCTGTCTTATTTTAAGCAATCATGTTAGGAAATTGTATGATTTTTCTAATGATAAGTCAAATTGGGGAACTTTTTTTAAAACACGTTGCTTTGCTATTTTAAATGGTGGCAAATCGTGGCCTAGGGTATTTGTTTTCTGGACATAATAAGAGTCATTCCTCTCAGGTTATATTCCCTAGAAGCTTCAGTATACACTTCTTTTCTCTATTTCTTCTACACCATCTGTGCCTCACTCCTGTCCCATGTCAGTGAACAGACATTTAACACTTTTTTAATTCCTTTCTTTCCACAAGGCCTATCTTCTCATGGGCAGGAAATCTCTCTTAATGCAGGACTCTACCAACCAAACAAAAAACCCACGCTGTTGAGTCAATTCCAACTCATAGCAGCCCCAGAGGGTTTCCGAGGCTGTAAATCTCTATGAAAGCAGACTACCACATCTTTCTCCCATGGAGCCACTGGTCGTTTGGAAGCACTGACCTTTCAGTTAGCAACTGATAGCTTTAACCACTACGCCACCAGGGCTCCTTAGGATTCTACCATTTCCTAAAAAAAAAAGAACCTAAAGGAGAGCAAACTACTGGTAAGGTTTTCAGAGGACATTCAGATATGGCTATAGATTTTGTCTGGATAAGCAGAGAATCAGCAATTCAGAGGACCCTGAATAGAAGAAGAAATGCCAAAGAACTAAAAAATAAATATGGTTTATGCTGCAATATACCATTTCCAAAGTTATTTCCAAGTAATAGCAAAGGAAAAGCCTTGGATAGGTTCAGAAATCCCATGATGGCCTCGTCAAGACTGAGAGACAGTGGGTTGAACCTGAGATTACCTCCACAGTACACTATTTATGGAATATCATTTCAAAGAAGAGGGAAAAAAAATTACCCGAAGGGAAGATTGCTGAGGTTAAAATGAAAAAGACCTTAGAATATGCAGGTTAGAGAGGCAGTCAAACAAAAAGGATAACACTTACAAACAAGTATTAATAAAAATCTAATTAAATGAAGAAAGTCATGAATGATATAAGTTTGAGAGCAGCCTTCATCTGAGAGTAGGTCTATCTGCACAAAAGAGGCTCTAGAGGTAAATGCCTGAACGCTCAACATGGAAATATTTTCAAATAAAAGTTAGAACTAAGAAAATGTCTCAAAACATAGAGGAAAAATAACATAAAAATGTTGAGTCCAGGAAACTCTTTAAATATATACCTCAATCAAGAATAATGAGGGGAAAAAAAGCAAAACAAATTTTACACATGTGAAGAAGCCTCTAGGCAAAGATCAATCTTGACCATACTACGTGAACAAAACTGCAACCAACTTCACAGCATGAACTGTCTGCTCAAGCTTGTTAACACTGTGTTTGACCAGTAACTTTCATAGAATTACAATGTGAACATCATCATCATTACAGTGAAGAAACCTGTCACTGGGTACAGTTTTCTCTATGTACAGATACTCTAAAATGCCTGAATCTTTACAAGAAACTGCCATGTGGAATCGATACTGCATGGACAATGCTACTGATTTTTTTTTTTTTTTTTAATAAAACACTTAAGAGATGGTTATTTGAAATTTTCATTTTACCACGATTTGGCAATTTTTTAATGTCTTCACGTAAAACCATGGGATGCCTATTTTTCTCAGAAAAATGTCATCTGTCCAGTTTCCTTTGAAGAATAAGAATGTCTTATTATTCAAAGTAAACGACCCAACGGTCACAGAATTTTCCCTCAAATTCAAGCTTACTTTCATAATGACTGTTTCGTTATCTAAATTTAAATCTTGTCATTATCCTTCCCATTGGCTACCTATTCATTAATACCTACCTCACAGGATGTTTCAACAATAAAAGTTACATAGAGAGCATATTTAGCACAGGACCTGCCTCACAGTACTGAACAACAGTGACTGTTATTTCCAATGCTTTCACTGGTGTTTGTGGCAAACTACATTTCTCAAACACACACAAACCTCTCAGCTTATTTTACAAAATTTTTTACATTTTTTGATTTGTCAATTTTTATGCCACTTTTAAAGGAAAATATAATTCTATGCAGAATGGCTGTGGTGCAAGACTAAAATGGCTGATTTAGAAAGTCTTGAGGCTATAAATTTAAAAATGTTGCAATGGGTCCCTACTGCCTTCATAATTCATATAATTCCATGTTCCTCACAAGAAAAACCAGTCTAATTAATACACATGGTACCCTGTTATTACTGACTGATCACTACTTATTCTATAAACTTACACAGAGGGAACTGGAACACACTACTAAACTTTCCACTGACTAGACAGCTTAGGTATTATACCAGCAGGGAAAAGAGCCTTTTCTTAATAATCTTTATATTTCTAATCCATTGAACCAATCCATTTTCCAGCTAAATATAACTAATCAACAATCCGAGAAGTAATGAAGTCAAACATTCCAACACCTGAACACAGGTGTTACAGAGAAAGCCTGCTAGCAGGCAAGGGCTGCTAGGAAGAGCAACGCTTGCTCACGCAAACCCATTGGTATCTTTCTTATGCCTACGTATCTCCTATTTTTCATCCTTTCACAAATATTTACTGTCTACTACGCTCTAGAGCCTAACACTGTGCTAGCCCCAAACACTGGCATGCAGCCCAGAACCTCAGGGCAGCATATTCACTACGACCCTGGTACTCTTTTAGAAAAAAGTTATAAAGGATTTCTGTTCTATCATCAATATCTGTGCTATCACTGTCATTACATTTCCCATCTTTTTATTTCATAATTTCTAACGGTTGCCAAGTCATTTAATTAATGAGAGGAATGGTTTTAGAACTCTGTCTAAAGCTTGATATGTCAGCATTCAGAAGTCTAACATGTCATTTGAAGTCCCTGAATGTCTTATTATTAAACAAAAATAAGAGAAAAAAATTTAAGGCAAAACCTTGAATTCTCTAATATCTAAAACAGCATATGCATGTGTGGGAACCAGACCCCACTTCTCTCCTTCAGCTTCAGTCATCACTCCGGTTGATGCAGTGATAAGGACATCCCCTTTGTGAAATCTGGAATGACCCCAAAAGACAAGTAATTAAAGAAAAACGCATTTGTCATCTCAGATCATACCATTTTAGCCTAAGGCTTACATGAAAATTTTCACAAATCTGAAATCTTTTCTAGAATGTGCTACCCCCACAAGAACTTCCAACAAGAAGTGGATTCTATTTCACACCATATTACAGAGTAAAACACCTGCACCGCACCCCCCACCCCCACCCGTTTTAGAGAACTTAATTCTCAGGTACAAACCGATCATCAGTGAAGGAAAGCAAACGCTGGATTTTCCAAGAGTTTACAAATAAGAGTGACAATGTGAAATAACAAATGCACTTCTCAAAACAAGGGACATCATTTTATTTATCAAATAATTGAGCTTTCCAGTGTTGCTATTAATGTGTATTATTGTATAGACAATTTTCTAGTTCCTGTGTTATCTCTTTTACATTCTCAGTCTTCTCTTTTCCCACTTTTCCTCAGACTTGACCAGTGCTTAGGAGATGCAAAATAATTCTTCTATATTACAGATTCTTGACTCAAATATTGTGCATTCTCTACAGTTTGGATTAACTGTAATTATCACTGAAGATAAATGAAGGGTGACTGCAGCAAGTGCATAAAGTGAAGTCTATTTTAAAAACAATTTCCCTAATAACTGAAAATGACAGCTGTGCAATCCCTATTCTAAGTAAGGCACAGTGTTTTGAAGCAGCCTCTTTTACCACCAAAAAAAAAAGAAGAAATGTTTACCTTTGGTAAAGCATTCTGAAAGAATTGTCCTTACTGAAAGTCTGGCTATCTGAATGCATAGCAATCCTTTCTGGTATCCACCCAGTCAGAGCATGAAGATCAATATTCTGCAACATAAACACTTTTCAGAATTATCAAAGTTGTTTTCAAGCTCTTAAATAAATCCTCAGGGTAGCTATTAAATTTCACTGGTTTAGTATAATGATTTTATAGGAATAAGTCTTATTTAACTCAAATTCCTACCTGACTTAAGCACATGCTTATCTTTTCCCTTATACCCTTCCCTGCTCTTCCTGAATACAACAAAATTTTTTTTTAAACTGGTAATTATGATGAAACCTCAAAACACATAACAAAAAAATTGCTTTGATGATGATGACAGCCACTCATCATTTAGTGAGTTCTTATGAGTCACTGTGCTAACTACGTTTTACATACATTCTCACTCTTTATTTTTCTCTTTAAACTAGACTGGGTAGATTAACAGGCAACGGAGTAGAAAGATAAACTGAAGTATCTGAAGGACTATGACTTATATGTTCTTTGCCTAGCATTATAAAAACCAGAAGGGTGAAGGAAGCCTGATATTAGGTAGGAAAACTAACCTGATATGAATGATAAGTGATTAGCATACATACATTACTTCATTTAATCTTTACAACTCTGAGAGGTGGTAGTATCTTCATATCACAGACAAGCAAAGAGACTAAGAAAGATTAATTACATTTTCCGAGGCCATAAGCTGGTTAGCGTCATTATTCAAAGTTAAGTCAATTCTGGCTTAGGCTTAGCTGTTTACTTCATGCAACTGAATAACAGTAGCATACACCTCAATTTTAAAGGTTAAGTTTAACCTTTAACTGAGGTTAGAAAAGCAAAAACAAACAAACAAAACTCCTTGAACCTGAATCTACAAATTGAAAAATATATAGGAATGACATTATATCACATCCCTTTGATGTAAACAGGCTTCTCTGGAAAAGGTTCACTGTGTTAACTGGCACTGTATCCCAACATAACAGACACATACATTCTCGGCTTTCCTGAATACAGAATCCATACAATGTGCTATCCTTACACAAGAAAATAGGTACCCCTATACTAAGGTGACTGGGTCAACATTTTTCACAGGTTGATAATTTCTCTTTTCCTTTAAACAAAAACATCATTTATAATTTTTAATCTAAAAGAGTCTTATTGGATAACATAAGTCTGTGTCTGGATCATCCTGTTACTTACTGAATTGGATCCAGGGAAATCATATCCTCCCATGACCTTCATGTATGCTTTTTCTATGAGAGAAACCCATAATTCACTTTTGTTGTTGGAGTAAGAACAGAGCAATTCTCCCTTATGATCAACAGGTAACTGGTCATCAATTATCACCTGAATAAAGAGAACATTAATTTTCCTAAGTGGTACAAAATACCTTAAAATCTTTTCTACTGAGGGAAAAAAAAAAATCTTTCATATTGCTAAATAAAAGGTACAATGTGCCTATTATTGTAGTAGTGATAATCTTACTTCTAAAAATCTGATCAATTATAAAATGTGTATGATGTCTTTATTCAATCTTACAAACTAATTTCACTGTCAGGTAACAAACTTGAGTCCACTGGTTAAATGGTATGGAACTACCATCAAAATTATTATGGATTTTAGAAACATACATTACATCTAAAATAATTACAAAAGGGCCTCATATTAAGGTAAATAACATTACTGTCTGTTATTTCAACCACGTGAAATAGTCTATTTCTGCTCTAAATCTGCAAAAAGACACATACTATGTATAGATGAAAAACTTGAACATTATGGCTAAAAATACATTTAAGTAATAGAAAAAATAATTACATTAGTAATCATTAGCTCAATGTTACTTTTGGAACTTTTTATAAATTTTCCCCACTTTATAAGACTTCATACTTGTCATGAGTTTTATTTTTAATTATCAACATATGATGTTAGTGGTTGTAACACGACTACCAATAACACAGACTCAAAATCAACTAAAATGACTTTAAAAATGTCTACACAAATGATTCCACTACCAACTCACAGGTGGGGAGAGGAGAGAGAAGATGGTGGAGAGACACATTACTCACCTTTCTTGGGACGCCATTGAGGTGAAGTTTTACCATATACTTTCCACATGGATTGTATTCTGGTTCACCATCCTTATTCTGAGGGTAAATTATGCTTTTGTAAGAAAATTAAATATTGAAATATTAATATTGTTTTAGCTACTACAGAATGTTTTATTTAGACACGCTACTCTCTTGATAATTTTATAAAAATAAACATGAGAATAACTTCCTGTAACAGGCCTAGAAAAAGAATTTCACCCTAATTAAACTGCTCGTTTACTAAAAATAAATGAAGAAAGTACCCAGTAAGATAACAAACAGAACATACATTTCACAATATTCTGAAAAGTGCTCAATTTTAAGTTATATACTCTGACCAGTACATGCCAAATTTGGACCAAATCAAGCATACTGAATATTATTTGTCTATCCAAAGTGGCAAGTAGCTTGAAATTAAGGACTGTATCTAATTCATCTTTATACCCTCAGGACCTAGCACACAAAACCACTCAGGAAAAGCTGAGTGAAAAACATGCTGTTGTGTGCTGTCCAGTCAATTCCGACTCATAGCAACCCTATAGGACGGAGTAGAACTGCCCCCGTAAGGTTTCCTAGGCTGAAATCTTCATGGGAGCAAATAGCCAGGTTTTTTCTCCCGTGGAGCAGCTGGTAGGTTTGAACTGCTGACCTTTTGGTTAGCAGCCAAGCTCTTAACCACTGCACCAGGACTCCTTATGAAAAGAGCACACTGTTTAATTTTTATAATAAATGATTTTAATCTAACTTTTAAAAACTGAAAGGAAAAGTATTTCAATAACATTTTAGTACATTCTAATGCAGTGCTAGCAACAAAAAAATCATTTTATATTTTCCAACAGCCACATTAAAAAAGTGTGAAGAAAGCTGAAATTTTAATAACATATTTTAACTCAATATATCTAAAATATTATCATTTCAACATGTAACTGATATAAACCTTTGAAATATTTTCCATTTTTTCATGCTAAGTTTTCAAAACTTGACGTGTATTTTACAAGTACAGCCCATTTCAAGTGCTCACTATCAACCTGTGGCTAGTGGCTACCACACTGTATAGTGTTAAACTACTATATATATGACACAATTTTACTTTGACCAATTTCATTAATTTGAAAATATATTTACCCCACATATTAACTACATGTGTGTATGCTCTTAAACTGTTTCACCACATCTTTCCACATGCACAAATCACCTGCTGAACCTCTACAGAAGGGTTGTAATATTCTGAGTGATATGTTTTTCCCCTTCCAACAGAGATAAGGCCTGAGTTTTTAATTCCTAGGAAAAGAGGTAACTGTCAGATGAAAAGGGCTAGAGGGACAAATACAAAATTTTACCTGGTAATCAACTTCTTATTAAATCGTCTCTCATAAGCTGCACTGATAGCCAGGGATGCCACAAAGGAACAATCTGATACTATTGTCTGTTAGTAAGAAGAATTTATTAATAAATTAATTTATGGCAAAAATAATAGCAGTATTAACACAAACATACTAAGCAATGCACCTTACTTTAAATACCTTCCTGACTGTTACTTGACTAGGAAAATACTGAATAGAAATGCCATACTGCTGACTCACAGATTTTAAGTCCTACAAACTCCTAGACAAGCTAAGTATTTCAGTGGAGTTAATTTAGAATAATTAGATATGGATAATATATTCCTTATATAGATAATAAAAAACACTCATCGAATCACATCATTAATATTTACTGACACAAAATTAAACGCATTTTTTAAAAAGTTTATCATAATATGATCATTTAAAATGAAAATGCACATCAAAAAATTCTTTTTTTTAAATTGTACTTTAGATGAAAGTTTAAAGAGCAAATTAGTTTCTCATTAAACAGTTAAAACACATACTGTTTGGTGACACTGGTGGCCAACCCCATGACATGTTAACACTCTCCCCTTCTTGACTGTGGGTTCCCGATTACCAGCTTTCCTGTCCCCTCCTGCCTTCTCGTCCTTGCCCCCGGGCTGGTGTGCCCATTTAGTCTCGTTATGTTTTATGGGCCTGTCTAATCTTTGGCTGAAGGGTGAACCTCAGGAGTGACTTCACTACTGAGCTAAGAGTGTCTGGGGGCCACACCCTTGGGGTTTCTCCAGTCTCCGTCTGATCAGTAAGTCTTGTCTTTTTTTTCAATACATCAAAACATTCTTGAATCACAGTATTTAAGGACCATTCTTTTTATATTAATGTGGAAGACAGCCATGACGTCAATGCAAAAAAAGACTGCAATAAAGCCACACCATTTGTCTGCCACTGGAATGTTTTATATAAGCCCAATATTATCCTAACTTTTATATCCATTCTCTTACCAAAGGTGAAATTCAGATTTTCAAATTTCTCATCTGCAAGCACAAACTGATAAACAGTCTGTATGAAAATTGGTATGGTCCAATCAGTTATTCATATTTCTATTATCTCAGTATGTTTAAGGATGAGTCACTGGGGCACAAACGGTTAAGTTCTCGACTACTAGCTGAAAGGCTGGTGGTCTGAACACACCCAGAGGTGCTTCAGAAGACAGGTCTGGCGATCTGCTTCTGAAAGGTCACAGCTCTGAAAGCCCTACGGGGCAGTTGTACTCTGCAAACAGGGGTTGCCATGAGTGGGAATCAACTCGATGGCAACCAACAGCAGCAACACGTTTAAGTCAAAATGTGCAGAATGAAAAACCTTTCCAATTATACTAATGCAGCTGAACATATCATAAAGATCTAGGAAAAAATTCAATCTATATTTAAATCACTTTAAAATGTTTGCTTTCATAGGAAATTAAGCAAAATGTTTACCTGCTTTATGCTAAAACTGGACACAGTGTAAATCATTGTAGGATTGTTGGTGAGGTCTTCTGGTCGTACCCATTTGGAAAATGTAGTTTTCTGTTTAGGTGATAATGGTAGCTTGCCCCATCTATCACTGTGGTAATAATAATAATGATAAATTAATCTTAAAACGTAACTCAAAACCAAAATTAAATTTCCTAGAGAATTTTTTAAAAATTTTTAAAATTTTTAAATATAGTGATCATAGTTATACTTACATCATCCTAAAATAACTCTCTGGTCAAATCTGGCTCTTAAACTTAAAACTTTGATTCCAGTCAACCTGATCATCTTTCTCAATTAAAAAAAATATATAGACAGATAACTGAAAACAGAAGACCAACCTAAATTCGTTCGTATCTGCTTTAAGAATATAAAAGTTTAATTTAGCATGGTTATGCGCGGGAAAAGGAGCCTTGGTGGCACAATGGTTAAGCACTGGGCTGCTAACCGAAAGCTTGGTGGTTCAAACCCAGATCTCAGCAGGAGAAAAGACCTGGTGATCTGCTCCCATAAAGACTGCAGCCTAGGAAACCCTATGGGGCAATTTTACTCTGTCCTCTAGGGTCACTATGAGTCAGAATTGACTGAATGGCACATAACAACAATGTGCTCAGGAAATTCAGTTTCAATAAAATAGAGCTATTAACAACAGGAGAAGCTGATTCATTCAGAAGGACCTCTTTTCCTGTTCCGTCTTTTATCTTTGAATTAAAAAACATTTACTGTTATTTTTCTCTTCTGATTCTCACTGTAAAACAACCTAGAAAACAAGGAAAAATTTTACCACAGAGTAGTTAACTTTAGTATTTACTCATGATTTTTCTCCAAAATTTAATTAATTTAGTAAATACTTATCGAGTACCTACTACATGCCAGGCACTGTGGCAGGCATGGGGGTACAAATTAGTTAAAAGAGACATGGTGTCTCCTTATGAAGCTTATAATCCAGCATGCCAGACAGACATTATGCAAGTAAGCACAAAGAATAAATGTAAAATTCCAATTGTGACAAGTGCTCTGCCTAAATTAAGGGAGCCTGTATGGTTTGTTTTACTTTTTTCAATTACATTATTTGCATTTCGCCATGTTATTAAACTCCTTGAAATGTTGTTGAATTCCTTGTTCATGGCTGTATAATTGTTCTCATGGCCATTCTATACAATATTTTATCTTTTTAATTTATCATATTGTGAGCATTTTCCCACATTTTTTTAAGACTTGTTTTTTATTGGTAGCATAATATTTGACTGTATGGGTCAATACTGACATATTAGTGGATATTTAGTTTATTTCAGTAATTTTTGCTGTTAACAGGTGCTTCGATGAATGCTCTTACTACACAGATTTTTGACTGAATTTTGATTCCCTTGGGATGACTAGAAGCTGGGTGCCCTGAACCAGTAAGTATTTTTAAGGCTCTTAACGTAATCTGGCAACATCTTGGAAGACTCTGCCAACTAACACTCTTATTAATAACTTTTTCTTAAATTGGATCGTACTAGTAAATTACACTATCATTCTACTTCATTTTTCTATTTAATTCCTTTATTGGCTTGTATTTCTGTAGTGATTCAATCACTGATTTCACAAACATTTACTGAGTACTCAGGCAAAAGGAGATCCACGTGTGCCCATTACCAGGCAAACAGTAATGGAGGTGCTCCTGCTATTTGCCTCCTTCTCTTATCCATAGCACTTTTCCAACCAAATTTTTTTTTATTAAAAAATATTACAAATTTTAATTTCAAGCTTCTATGAATTAAATTGGACTTAAGAGTACTAAAAAAGTACTGAAAGAAATAAAATGACCTTGGAAGTAAAAATTGCCATATAAACGGTGCTTACTTACCAGAAAGGCATTGGATAGGCAAAACGTTCCCTCAGATCAACACTCATGAAAGGAACATATTCTATACCATTTATTTTTGATGTTGTCCTATAAAACACAAGAAAAAAAAATCTAACACAAATATTCAGTCTACCTTAATCACCAGGAGCCCTGGTGGTGCAGTAGTTAAGCACTTGGCTGCTAACTGATAGGTCAGTGGTTTGAATCTACCAGGTGCTCCACGGGACAAAAATGTGGCAGTCTGCTTCTATAAAGACTAAACCTTGGAAATCAATGGCGCAGTTCCACTCTGTCCTATAGGGTTGTTATGAGTTGGAATCAACTCGACAGCACACGATAACAGTTAAATCACTAATCTTATTTAAACTCCTTAAAATTTAAATAACAAGGTATGGTACTATAATAAAATTCAACTGACAACTTTATAGTGTTATTTAGACAAAATTTTCATGGAACAACTGAATATCAGAGAATAGCTAACTCAATTCAATTCAATGAGTTATTCTTTAAGACTGACATCTTTTACCACCAGAACACTAGTCTAAAGATATGCCTGTACTACAGGTAATGAAGGAAGCCTATTCCACTTGATACCAAGGACATAAAGCCAATTCTATTGCAAACCCAAAGGGAGAGATCAACTGCTTATTTTGAGATTAAAAAAAATGATTATTTACAATTCTGAAAAATATGTTTTTTTATATTTTCTGGTTATGGGAATATGGAATGGCAATGGAAGAATGAAGTTACAGATATTAGCTACGGCCTCTGACAAACTACAGAAATGAGCTTTGTAGTAGTTTTCTATATTTTCTCCTTGTTTTGTGTACATGTTTATTTGTATAAATTAACAATTTCCTCCTTTTATCTCTTTTTCTTTAGAGAGTTGTGGGATAACTTCACAATTTGGTCTTTAGCTAACGCTATTCAGTGAGACTGTGAATTTAAGAACTAATCAGTCAGTGACGCTTGGGACTGGATGTCTCCTCATTTTGGAGACAGAGGGTGAGACCTTTTCCCTAGTAGGAAGGATAGCTGCATTTTAAAGATGGAAACATATTTCTTTTGTTGTAGTATGAAAGTTCAAGCGTGTGTAACCAAAAAACCAAACCTCTACCATCGAGTCAATTCCGACTCCTAGCAACCCTACACGACAGAGGACTGTCCCACTGTCAATCTTTATAGAAGCCGACTGGCACACCTTTCTCCCGTGGAGCTGCTGGTGGGTTTGAACCTTGGACCTTTCAGTTAGCAGCTGAGCGCTTCACCCACTGCAACACCAGGTGTCTTTTATATGGATGCTTAATAGCCAAAAAATTAAACTGCTGTTAATTTATTGTCTCTCAGCTCCAAAACCACCCTTCTTTGCCCTACTTTATGCTGTGCTGGCTCACATGCAATTTTTCTAGACAAAGAGACAGATTAATAGGAACAGAATTAAAAGCTCTTAGGTGACTGCTACATACCAAGGAGCCTGTACTGCAATTTTAGGAAAATTAAAAATGAGTGCCTACCTGCTCTGCACAGCTCTAAGCAGGCTGAACCTCCTCCAGTGCTCAACTTACGAAGAGGCACACTAGCTCAGAGATTTATCCCATCTACGCTAGCTCAGAATGCAATCAAGGGTTTCCACGTTATTGCTGTTTTGCATTTTAACATCCTAGAGGCTGCTTCCAGACACACTGAGCTGACTGCCTAGACCAGGGGTTGGCAAACTTTTTCTATAAAGGGCCAAACAGTGTGTATTTTAGGCTTTGTGATGATGTCCCTGTCACATATTCTTCTTTGCTTAAAAAAACCCCAAAAAACCAAAAACAGCTGCCATCAAGTACACTCCCACTCATGGCGACCCATGTGTGTCAGAGAAGAACTGTGCTCCATAGGGTTTTCAATGGCTGATTTTTCAGAATCAGATCACCAGGTCTTTCTTCCAAGGCACCTCTGGGTAGACTCAAACCTCCAACCTTTTGGTTAGCAGCCAAGTGCAGTAACTGTTTGCACCACGCAGGGACTCCCTAGTTCAAGGCTGCCATTTGCTGACCTAGATCCCCATGTGCCTAGACTGCTCTTTCAAGATAGTAATTTTTCCCCCTTAGGACTCTGATTATAAAGTTGCACAGATAACAACTGGTCTGCCCATAGCCCTGTTTTCCCCCTAAGACTTTAAGTGCTGAATTTTGCAGAATGCTAAGTTTTTCAGAAAGATATACCATGTCTAACAGAAATGCTAATATTAAAATATATTAGAATTAAAAACCTTGCACTCTTCCCAGTTGTGACAACATAATTTATAATTTCAAAATAACAGTACAACACACTATAGCACAGATCTGAGTAACAAGCAACAAACTATGAGAATAAAATTACCTATGTTTACTACACTAACAAAATCCCTCACTATAATGAATCATAAACTGACTTACCTGAGTACTTCTATTTCTTCTGCTGTGTATCTCTGTCCTTGTGCATCACATGACTGGGGAGTTATAAACTGCTGAGGTCTTTCAAGGAAGGGATTAGGTCCTAGCGGAAAATGGGCTCTCGTTGGAGGTGGCTTTGGTTTATTATTCGCTGACTTGATTTTGTTTAGTGGCTTTGTCAAAGGTTCACTCAATGCTTCTGCTCTATAACAGAAAGAGATAAAGAAAAAGTGTTCTGGTGTTTCTTCTCACATTTCAGCTTTCCAGAAAACAAGATTCACTTCAAGATCCAGTCAAGCACTCCTAATGTAAAATTAATATATACAATTCCTACATACAAGATTTCACTGCTTAAGATACTCCCAAAGGTAAGTGTTTTTTGCAAACAATGTTCTATCAACAACACTGAGAACTTAACTGTTTATGTCAGATACTATATGTCAAGGGGATACAAAAACATGTAAAACACATTGCTATCCATAAGGTGTTCACAGTTTTGTGGGGAAAGAGACAAGTAATTGCATCCGAAGTGATAGATGTTAGGATGAAGTATAATAAGAGAATGAAGGAACAGCAGAAGAATTTAATGAACTGGGAACAGACAGTGAGTCAGGGAATATTTTTCTGACTTGATGCTTAAGCTGAAGAGGCGTTCACACGGGGAGTACGGAAGCATTCTAAGACAGAACAGCATGTACAACGAAATGGCATAGTAAGTTAAGGTCATTTCAAAAGATGAATGTAAGCCCTGTAAATGTGCAAATGAGAGGCAACAGGATATAAGACCAGAGAGGAAGGCAGGGTTTGGATCACAGAAGGCTCTCATGATACGTAAGGGAATTCTGACTTCACTCTGTTGAAGAACTAACAAACTAAAAAGTAGAAGTTCTTAACCTGAGGTCCATATATGAGCTTCAGGAGTCTTGTAAACACCCTGAAATTACATGTGAAAAAAACCTGATGTACATTTTTCCTAGACAGAGGATTCTTAATTTTCAAAAAATCTTCAAAAGGGCCAAAGACTGGCCCCCTGTCCCCTCCCCCCCCCACCATTTAGGATGTGCTCAGGAACTCAGGAAAAACTCAGGACGGGTTATCCACATAGGTAATAAAAGTCATCTATGATTCCAACTGATGAGAGAAACAGAAATGGAAAAGACAACTATGTGTCAAGTGTCCGTATCTTTATGAATCTGGGGAAACAAACTAAAGGTTAGTAGATGATAATGATGAAAAGGAAGGAATACTGTTATACTTCAAAAAAAAAAAAGCTGGCGGGGGGTGTGAAAGAGCTACCTAGTCAAAGCCTCAAAAGAAGATAATGTTATTAATTCATGCTATAAACACAAATGCAATTTTCACCCTTTTCTTTTGTCCACAACATTCCCTCAAAAGGTATAATACTCCTCAAGCAAATCCATTCATTTTTTACAGACATAAACTACTGAGTACATGCTATATGCCAGGCAGTCTGTTAGGAGCTTGATTATAGCACTGAACTAACAGACCAAATTCTCTGCCCTCATAGAGGAGTGTACATTTGGGGGATGGAGGTTGGAGGGGAGATAAACATTAACAGCAAACATAACAAATTCACAAATTTCATATACCTTAGAAAGTGGTAAGAGCTATGGGAAAGAATACTAGAGTAGGCAGGATGAAAAGTGCTGGGGAAGGGTGGAATTATAACTAGAATGGTTAGGCAGGCCTCATTTAAAAGTAGACATTTGAGCAGAGATTTGAAGGAGGTAAACACACTTCATAATTTAGGGTATGCGTACAGCTGTAAGCAGCCTCATTCTCAATTTCTTTTTTTATCAGTAGCTCTAGAAGTCTCTCTGGAAGGTCTACTCTTTGAAAGTCTGATATTACACAACAAAAGGGAAGTCTTCCATTTCAAATATCACAATCATTTGTTTTACATATAACAAAAACTAAATAAAATATTTGACTAATGGCTATTTATTGAGATTAAAGCAAGGAACTTCAGAAGGTAAATTCACGCAGAGGAAGAAGGCAGACTTGTTCCAGGTCTCAGTCTATAAGATGGGAGTTTTGCTACTATGACCTCTACCACAAATTTAGACTGTTTTTATAGTAACAACACATGCCATCCATGGATAAGAATATGAATGACCAAAACTCACCTATCCAGTGCCTGTCGGGCCAACTGTTTCAGCTTATTTTGCAGGGTTTTATCAGCAGTTTCGGAAGACTTAGGGAAAAAAAAAAAAGACATTCTAAAGTATAATTATTATTTAATTTGCTTAGTTCATGACATTTCTAAGCAAAACACTTACAATGCACGTTACACTTCTTGAAATTATAAGATAAAGATGACATTTTATTTTCATCTTTGAAAGGATCATTTAAAATTGTGCTGAAAACTTGTCACTGAGGTAAACTTGAGGACCACTTAATATGAAAAGGTCCTAACCGGACTACAACTGTATGATCATGGTGCCACAGAAGGCTGAGTGGCAGGAACCTCAGAAGCCCACCACTTACCTATGGTCTCAGGTACCTACAGAATCAGGCTAGACGGCTCCTCTGAACAAAAGGCCCTGGCCAATAAAGCCAGCCCTCTGAACGATGCTGGAACACCATTCTCCACTTTATCTCATCCTCTTGTTAAAGGTACTGATCTCTCTCCCTTCCTCTCTTTTTAAATGATACTTCATTGTGTTTTTGGTGAAAGTTCACATAGTAGATTAGGGTCTCAAAAAATATGGAATGTTTTGTGGATCTGTATGTCATCCTGTGTAGGGGCCATGCTAGTCTTCTCTGTATCATCCAATTTTTAGTACACGTGGTGCCGAAGCAAGCACTGCACTGCTCTTATGCACTAGGTGCTAGATGCTGACACTCTCAACTAGGGTTCCTCAAGGAGCAGTAAAAGCAACTCAGCATACCGACTTGATGTTGCAAATTAATAAAGCCCTCCCAAACCACTACCTTATTTTTTCGTGCATGAAATTGTGGGGCTTCAAATTAACTTTACCTAAAGAATTTGGTCTTTGTCCTTCATTCCTGAGAAATAACCTCTTAAATGCTGCAATTTCTCCAATGACTGAAGTGTCTTTGATGAGGGCTACAGATCATACTTACCAAACAGGTTATGTTACAAGGTTACTCAGGTGGGTGCTGGCCATGCCAGAAAGACCCACCTCGTGATATCAGCCAACTTCAGGGGAGGGGTGCATGATTCAATCAAATGTAATTATGTAATGGGGCCAAATAAAGGCTTGGGACGTGGACGTTCCAAGGACTTCCTGGCTGGTGAAAGACACTGATGCACACAGAAGAGTAGCTAGTCCCTTTTTGGGAAACAAAAGCTGTGTTGGGAACCCTCCCAGATCTCACTCTATGCATCATTTGTATCTTTTTTACTATAATAAAACTGCAATAAAAAGCACAGCACTTTCCGTGAGTTTGGACACTTCTAGTGAATTATCAAAACACAGGGAGTAGCGGCAGACAGAAGGTCAGAAGTGAGGGGGAGTCCTGGGGACACCCAAGCTTATGGCAGGGCATCCTGAGGGAGGCAGTGGGAAACCCTCAAATTTGTAGTCTGGTCAGAAATGAGGGTATCAGGGGGACCCTCAAGATTGTGCCTGCATCTGAGGTCTTGGGCAGACTTGGCAGTCTGGAGGACTGTCCTTTTTTAATTTGTGAGATATGACCTAGCTCTGGAGCTTAGCATCAGAGGAAGAAGTATTACATTATGCAGTCGGTATCAAAATTAAACACAACTGAATTGATTCCTTCATTTCAGTTGGTGTGACAACTGATTCCTTTTCCTTTTCATAAATTAAAAAAATTAAAAGGAAGCTTATGTAAATTCTTCCTGTAGAAAGTTAGTTTTAACCATCAGGGCACAAAAATATTAAACAAATACCTGTAACTTAAAAAAAAAACTGCTTAATGACTCAACGTCAAATTCTTAACAAAATGTTAAAATTCATTATACCTACTCCTCACTTATCAACTATCTCATTATCCAATATTTCGCATTTACAACAGCAGTAAAAAATCTACTATCCACTATTGTGCACATTAACGACATACACCTGGCAGTAACCAACGCTGAGGTGTGAGGTAAGAGTTAATGGTAGCTGTGATGGTTACGTGTCAACTTGGCTGCGCCATGAGTCTCAGTGGTTTGGCAGTTATGCAAGGAAGTAATCTGGCAGTTATGCAGTGATGTAATTTGGCAGTTGTGTAATGATACAGTCATCCTCCATTTTGTGATCTGATGTGGTCATCCTCCATTTTTGCATAATGTCAATTTTCACATAATGATCTGGTCTCTGGAACCTAACCATGGTCGGTAACTGAGGAGTGTGTGTATTAACTGTCTATTCTTTATCATCTTTTAATGAGAAGTAATTAGTTACATTTATAATAATACTATACTTTCCTTTAACGAGTTGTTAGTAAAATTCACTGATAAAGAAAGAAATTTCTTAGCATAATTGCACCAAATTTAACTTCTAGCTATACATACAGTTTTCAGGCAGAGATCCACGGCTTCTGTATACAATTCTATAGCATCTTCAACATTCTCTTTTTCATCTTCATCAAAAGCTTGTGTGACAAGAAAATGGGCTCGCTCTAGGTCCAACTGATGTTTTGATTTCAAAGGATCAGCATTCTTTGACTGAACTACAAGAGGAACAAAAGCATACATAGAAGAAATATCATCTAAACATACCCAGTGAGCAACATACCATTTTAATACATTTAAGACATTCTTTACCAAAACTCTAGAACTCTTTCACTTAAAAACACAAAGTCAAAAAACAAATCCTTAAAAACTAATTTTCCCCTTCCCATTTCAATCTTAATTTTAAGGCTATCCCCAATTGTTTAACTCATACACAACAGACACTAGATACAAAGAATACCAAGAAATGCATTATTTACTCAGAATTTTTTTTCTCCTGCATTTCTCTCTCCGTATCAGCACTCTTCATTTAAAAAAATAAAACACAAGTTCTCCTCACACACACCCCCATAAACAAAATAAAAACTTGGAAAATGCTAAATCTCCATTATGTTTTAACATAATTTTTAAAGTTTCTTTCATTACAGAATAATTGTCTAATATAATACACTAGGCCCTGAAGATTAAAAAGTTCCTGCCATGTTTCCTATTCATTTGGGTCCAGAATATTGCTTTTGTTAGGTGTCGTTGAGTCAATCCTGACTCAGAACAAATAAGCTATTACATATTTTTACTGCTCTTTGAAATATGTTTGTTTTTAACACAGAAGTAAATATATATAAAGGACTTGTATCCAGACTATATAAAGATTTCTTACAAGTTGACAAAAAGACAACTCAATTAAAAAATGGGCAAGAGATCTGAACAGACATTTCTCCAAAGATACACAAATGGCCAATAAGCATATGAAAAGATGCTCAACATCAACAGCCATCATGGAAAGACATATCAAAACCAGAATGAAACACTACTTCATACCCAAGAGGAGTCCCTGGGTGGTGCTAACGGTCAAGCACTTGACTAGCCGAAAGGGTGGCAGTTCAAACACACCACCTAGAAGCGGCTCAGAAGACAGGCCTGGAGAATCGCTTCCAAAAGATCATAGCCTAGAAAACCCTATGCGGCAATTCTACTCCGCACACATGGGTCACCAAGAGTTGGACAATCGACTCGACAGCAACTGACAGCAACAAGATGGCTAAAGTCAAAAAGCCAGAGAACTAGTATTGGAGAGGATGTGAACAAACTGGAAACCTCATACTTTGCTGGTGGAATTGTAAAATTGTACAGCCACTTTGGAAAACAGTTTGGAAGTTCCTCAAAAACTTAAACATAGAGCTACCACATACCCTAGCAGTTGTACTCCTAGACATATACTCAGGAGAACTGAAAACAATGTCCACATAAAAACTTGCACACAAATGATCACAGCAACATTATTTATGATAGCAAAAAACTGAGAACCCAAATGCCCATCAGCTGATGAGTGGATAATACAAAATGTGGTATCTGTTCATACCATGGAATATTATTTGCCATAAAAAGTAATAAAGTTCTGATACATGTTACAATATAGTTTAACCTAGAAAACATGCTAAATGAAAGAAGCCAGACACAAAAGGCCACATATTGTATCACTCCATGTATATGAAATGCCCAGAGACAAATCCACAGACAGAAAGTAATCAGTGGTTGTCAGGGGCTGGGTGGCGGTGAAGGTGGGGATGGGTGGGGAGGTGGGGGGCATGGGAAGTGAACAGCTAATGGATACAGGGTTTCTTTTTGGGGTGATGAAAATGTTCTAAAATTAGATAGTGGTGATGGTTGCACAACACGGGGAATATACTAAAATCACTGAATTATATACTTTAAAAGGGTGAATTTTATGGTTTATGAATTATGTCTCAATAAAGCTATAATTCTAACAAGCTTTTTTACTTACATTTTAAGTCTCTTAAAAGTATGTAATAATGCTTTTTAAACTTTAACCCTTATAACCTCTTTAAAGTATGTACTAATCTCATTTATAAATTGAAGACACCAAAGCTCAAACATGTTAAAATATCTAGTCCAGGGTTTCTCAACCTTGGCATTACTGACATTTTGGGCTGGATAACTGTTTTTTGTGGGGGGCTGTCTTGTGTATTGCAGGATGGCCTTTACCTAAATAGACTGCAGCAGCATCCTCACAGCTGTGAAAACCAAAAACCTCTCCAGACATTGTCAAATGTCCCCTGGGGGACAAAATCACTCCTGGTTGAGGTTTCATAGCTACAGTGGCAGGGTAGGGACTCAACTTAGATTTGTTAATTCCAAGTCTTGAGCTCTTTATACTACACTGGTGATTTTCAAACTGTTACCTTTCCCTACCCTGAAGTCAACTCATCTCTCAAGAGTCTCTTGATTGTCAGCAAACTTTATCTGTTTTAAAAACTGGGGTGATGAACAAGATTCTACTTGAAAAAGGACTCTTCTGCTTAAAATTATAACAAGCAAACAAACAAGTAATTGGCGAAATAATTGACAAAACAATTAAGGTTATGGTATGCTTTACAAATTCTTTTTGAAATTTGTGTTTCACTGGCAAACAGCTTTAACATTTAGTCTAGGATGTTTCAGATAGGGATTTCTATGATAGTTCAATACTTATAACTTTTCTCTCTCCACACCTAATTAAAGGCTTCCTGAGGGCATGGACTGGCAGTCATTTTTCTATCACCCAGTACTTACCATATAGCCCAAACATGCACTCAATAAATGGTTGTTGGAATGAAGGGAAATATCTATGGAAAAAACAGGGAGATCACGGAAGTAAGCATGAAAGATTACTTTCCATACTTCAAAGATAACTTTATTTGTAAACACTGTTTATAAAACAAGGTTTCCTGATTATCAAACTGAAATTTAAGAACTTCATTTACTTGCCCAGGAAAATGAAGTCTCTTTGTATTATATGAGGTCCTGATACACAGATAGTCCACGTTTCAATAAATTCAATTTCTGGGCACTATCTTAAAGTGAACTACCTTGTCTTTAAGGGGGCTGTCATAACAAGAAATTCAAATCTACTTTATCTAACTATATGCTTGTAACTGTTCAGATTATTCAGATGTTGGTGGGAAACACTGAATGAGTGGTGGAAAGTAGCACAAAGTCTATCAGGCAATGCTAAATAAGTGGAAATTCCTCTAAACCGCTTGTAATTTTACTACACAGTGACAGAAAAAAAAGTTAAAAAGAGCTCTTGAAGGGATGAACAAATTTCTAAAACAAACTGTCAGTAGGTGATGATTTTCTTTTCTTCCCATGTGAACAGATTTTGACACGAACCACTTACCTCAAACAAACAAAACTTATCATTAAACCTGTGTGTACTTCTATCACAACACCTGCAATGCTGTTTACTAAAATAAATACAAGCTGTCCCAGATCTCTGCTTACAAGCTGCTCTTCCAAAGTATGGTTTAAAGAGAGAGTTTCGTTAAGGTCTTAAGGTAGAAGAGACTAAGGTAGAAGAAATTATGAACTTACTGCTAAAATCTTTCAACACTAAGGAGGAATAATCTCTTATTTTTTAATATTAAGAGAGGGCACTGACATATATTTAAAAAGCAGACTCTAATGGGGTCCAAATCCTGGCTTTGACATTGAATAATTGCTTGCCTATAGATCACTATCATTGGGCCTCAGGAAAATAAGGAGATTGGACTACATTATTTCTAAGATTCCTCTTCACTGATCTATCATTTATTTCCATATATTCCAAATCTCCAATCGTAAGACTGTTAAGGATGTGATTAGCCAATGAGCAGCAAGAGTGAGGATCAAGATCCAAAGGTGAAGATGAAGAAGTGAGAAAATATAGGGATAAAAGTAAAATGTGATGAAAGAAAAAAATAGTGACAAGTTTAGTATTCCTTTACAAACCTGCTGAATATAGAGCTTGGACTCTTTCCAGATACTCATTTATTTTCTCTTGAATATGTTCTAGGCTTGATCCTGCCATTTCAGCATAAATTAAGGCTTGTGCAGCTTCCTAAAAATAATTAAAAAAAAGTAAAGGAATCCAGTAGATGTATTAAAATTTGAATTTTCTTTAGTATTTTCTAATTCACTATTGGTTTTCATAAATAACAAAACAATAACAACTGAAAAATCTTTAATGTATTAGTAATATTTTCATAAACTAAATAAGTTGTATTATCCTCTAATACCTTTTCTTCAGTTCTTAACGCTCTCAATTTCTCATACTGTTGAAAATTTATGAATTCAAGTATGAGGGACTATAAACATTTCCTTAGAATAGGTGTGGTTCATAAGCACTGTTTTCTTTATTCTTATGTAATAGATCAGACTTAAAATTATATTCCTTGAAAAAGTAAACTGAGCCTTAAAAGCATTAAAACCAATAACAACAACAACAAGCGACCACCACCAGTAAAATAAAACTAAATATCAGGAAAAGATTTTAAGAATTATGAAAATTAACTATCTCACAGTGGAAAGAAATATTTTTCTCCAACAAAAAATATTGTCAAAGAGTGACACATTTTAAAGCAGATTTAAGCTGTATGAAATAAACTTACTTTAATTAAGGAAAACTGGATTCTTTTTAGGCAGTTATGCTGTAACTAGTGAGAAAGAGCTTCCATTTCTCCCAATACCATTCTGGGAAGGTTACCAATGCTGCCACCTAGGAGGACCAGAGAAAGCCTTCTCCAAGTAACACCACCATTTCTGCAGTAACCTGAGCATGTACACTTGGTGAAGCCTCACGCCTAACTGTCTGGATCCAAAGAAGCCATATACTGAACATCACTTTTTCAATCCAGTTAACTGAGCAGGAGTTGTTTCTATGAACCTAAAAAAATCAGTGAGAAGAGCATTGTCCCAAACGGAAATTTAGCCTAAGGCTATGCGGTAAAAAGATACCATTTCCTCAGATTCTACGACTCAGATCATTTCAGGGAAGGAAAAGACATATAATTTTAAATGTAAACATTAAATATTGTACTTTGTGCACTGTCATTATCTAAATACATTATAGTCACAGTTAGCTTCAACAAGAGCCCTGGTGGCACAGTGGTTAAGAGCTCAGGCTGCTAGCCAAAATGCTGGCAGTTTGAATCCACCAGCCACTCCTCGGAAACCCTATGGGGCAGTCCTACTTTGTCCTATAGGGTCCGTGAGTCAGAATCGACTCGATGGCAACGGGTTTGTTTGGTTTAACTTCAATAAACTGAAGGACACATACACACACACACAAACCCATTGCTGCTGAGTCAATTCCAACTCATGGCAACCCCATGTGTTAGAGAGTAGGACTGCTCCAAGGGTGTTCTTGACAGAAGCAGACCTCCAAGCCGTTCTTCCAGGGGGCTGCTGGGTGAGACTGAACCACCAACTTTTAGGTTAGCAGTCTAGCACAAGCTGTTGTGCCATCCAGGGACCTCCAGATATGTTGAGGTTCTAGTCCACCCAGAGGTACCTCAGAAGGAAAAAAAGCCGCCTGGCGATCTAGTTCCAAAAAATCAGCCACTGAAAACCCTATGGAGCACAGTTCTACTGTGACACCCACGGGGTTGCCATGAGTCAGACTCATCTCAATGGCAAACGGTTTGTACAACAGTATCAGAGCAGAAAATACTAAATGTCTGAAGAAGTTTATATAAATAGTTCCTAGAAGGACTACTTTTCTTACCTTCTTTCTAAATGACATGTACATCATCCTATGGCTAAACAAGAGGCAATGCATAGTAATTCCCTTTGCTTTAGAAAAAGCTACTCCCGTGTAGCACCATTTTAACCTATTACCTTAATATTTGTCAAAGTTATTTCACAAAACTAAAACACACAGAAGTTTATTTAAAAAAATCCCATCTCATGAAAAAAAAAGTCCAAAGGGAGGGTTCTGAAACACATCAAGTCTCTAATACCCATTGCCATGGAGTTGATCCCAACTCACAGCCATCCTATAGGAAAGTAAATCTGTCCCACAGGGTTTCTAAGGCCGTAAACCTTTCATGGAAGCAGACTGCCACATCTTTCTCCTGCTCCTGGTGGGCTTGAAATGCCAACCTTTCAGTTAGCAGCCCAGCGCTTTAACCATTGTGCCACAAGGGCTGTAGATTATAAAATGAAAACAGTGAAACATTTGTCTGAGAAAAGCAAATTACATGTTACTCTTAGTATATACATTTACGGGAAAAAAATACCACTACTGTAATATTAAAGTCTGACATTCTTAAAAAAAAAAAAGGTTACAATATCATAAGGGTACAGATGTCTAGAACAGGGAAGTGGAGAGCCTGGCTAGGGCGGGAGAGGTGTGTCTGCAAATCCTCAGGGTGGAAGATAAGAGGGTGGAACATGGAAGCTCATACACTTTGATTTAGCAATTCTGCCTACAGTAATTTAGCCAAAAGAAGTATCAGGAAGTGTGCAAAGCATTAATTATAAGGATACTAACTGTACTACAAGTCACAGGCTGAAAAAACAGAATGAACCTCAATGTCCAATAGTTTGCGAGTAAGTTAGGGCACATCCATATAATGGAATGCTATCCGCTATTATTAATAAAATTGAAGGAGTAAACTTGATTTGGGAAAACGTTTAAACGAGAAAAACAGGTTAAAAAACTGCATAAACAGTATTATCCAAGTTTGTTTAAAAAAAAAAAAAGGGTGTGCACACGTTATGTGCCATCGAGTCGGCACAGAAAAACAATCACAAAATTATACATCAGATACTAGGATAAGAGATGGCTTTATTCTTTTTCTTCAACGAACACGCACTATGGGTATATACCAGAGAACATTATCCCAGTACCAGTAAATAAGAGCCAAGTGACAGTAAGAATTAGCTACTAACTACTCATACCTTGGGGACCCCGGTGGCACAGTGGTTAAGAGCTGGGCTGCTAACCAAAAGGCCAGCAATTCAAAACCACCAGCCGCACCTTGGAAACCCTATGAGGCAGTTCCACTCTGTTCTCTAGGGTCGCTATCGACTCCGCAGCATGGGTTTTTTTTTTTTAACCCATACTGAACTAAGGCCGCCATAAGCGAGTGGGCGTGGGATGTGACTGGCCTTTGCAGCCCGGTCGCCTGTCCCTTCTGAGATCCCAAAGAAGAAGAGAAGGAGGAGGAGGAGGAAGAGGGAAATGCAAAGCACACAACCGGGGCCAAAGGGGACGGCTTCGCCTCGCACCAGGACCCCGCCGGACTCCGGCTCGGATCACGGATGCAGACAAGCCGACGCCCCCCTACCTTATAGTAAAACACCGCCTCAGAGTAGCGACCCTCGTGGTCGCGCTGCACCGCCAGCCGGGCAAACTGCACTGCGTCCCGCTCCAGCGCCGCCGCGTCCATGGCGCCGAGAGCCCGCTTCGTGGGGAGGGCGAGTGGGAGGCCCTGACGCAGGAAGACTCTCCCCTGACCGGCGCGCCCTGGACCCGGAGGGAGGGCTTGGGAACGCGGCGGAAGTGTAGGAAAGCTTCTTTTCGGTGGCTGGGGGAGGAGAGCGGGCCTTCACGGATCCATCTCTCCGCGACGCCGCGCCCCCACAGCGCAGCCCCAGAACCTAGCCCGCATGGTCGTCCCGCTTCGCGACCACCACGTCCATCGCCCCGCCCAACGGAGGCACTGCGCAAGCGCAGCCTTGTTCTCGGGAGTTTTCCTGGAGCCGGGGCCGCAGAGGCAGGGCTCGCGGGAGTGCGCGGGACGGTCGGCGGGGCCGGCCCTAGAGGACGGCCCGGCCTGCACGTGACCGCCGCTAGCCCCGGATTGGGCGAGCGAAGGCAGGTGCCACGTACAAACTGCGGACGTCTCCGCCGCCTGCGTGGAGGTAGTAGTGGACCGGCAGGTTGTCTCTGTCGACAGTTGGCAGGGGTGGGAATGCGCTTTGTTGAGCCTTTCCTCTACTAAGTGGAAGGGATAGGAGTAAAGAATTAATGAAGAGGTCCTGCCAACAGCATCTGGACTAATAAAAAAAAAAAAAAATTAGGCGTGTAAAGTGAGGATATAGGATTCTTTTGAGATACGCTTTAAAAAAGAGTATCCTTTTTAAAAAACTCGATTCCGACTCATAGCGACCCTATAGGACAAAGTAGAACTACCGCTTAGAGTTTACAAGGAGCGGTTGGTGCATTTAAACTGTCAGCCTTTTGGTTAGAAGCTCTTAACCACTGTGCAACCAAGGCTCCAAGATACTCTTTAATAACGTTTATTTCCAAAGAAAGGTGATACAACAGAATGCAGAAACTGTTGAATAATATTAATATCACACACAAGTAAAATTTTGCTGAAGATCATTCAAAAGTGGTTGCAGCAGTATGTCAACAGGGAACTGCCAGAAGTTCAAAACTCATTAAACTGTACACTTTAAACAAGTGCTTTTTATTTTTTGTTAACTATAATTCAATAAAAAATTATTTAAAGTTACTTGGTCTGTGTATAAATGAGGCTTTCCACCCATTTCTACAAATCACTTAATTTCTTTGTTTCTTCACATTTAGTGAAGTTAAGAAAAAGAATTATTAATGATATATATCTCATCAGCTTGTTGTAAATTTTGTTAAGAATGCAGATGTTTTGAAAAACCGCAGGAAAGACAAACATAACACATAATGATAGAAAGCAGATCAGAGGTTCTGGAATTGGGGGTGAGGTGAGTGGAGATTGATTGGAAATGGGCACAATTAATCAAGGGAACCTTTTGGAGTAATGGTGTTTACACAGGTGTATACATTTGTCAAAACTCATTGAGGAGGTGGGGCCAAGATGCTGGAGTAGTCAGACGCTTCCTGTGGTCCCTCTTACAACAAAGATCCGAAAAAACAACTGAATTGATTATATGTGACAATCTAGGAGCGCTGAACATCAAAAGCAAAGTTGAGGAATCGGACTGAGTGGTAGGGGGAGGGAGAGATGGTTCAGAAGCAGCGAGGAGCTCCTAGACCTGACCCACTGGGAGCCGGTGCCCTTCAGGCCAGATCAGCTCGCATGCGTGGTGAGGGAAGCAGTGGCACTCGGGAGGTGTTTTCCACACTGGGAGAGACCCAGCGGCATAGCGCCTACTCGGGCATCCAGAACCAGTGAAAAGCAGAGCTCAATCAGTAAAAGGTAAGTACTAGTGTCCGGCCTACTGCGCAGATCAAAAAACACCCCCTTTAGGAAAAACCTCTCTCCCATTTACCTCCCCGCTTTGCACCAGGTCCTGGGCCAGCTTCAGTGACTGCCACATCCCTTGGCGTGGAAGTAGGACCCGTCGTGTGCTCTGAACCATTCTCCTGGCCTTGGAGAGGGAACAAATTAACAAACAGGAAAAAAAAATCTGCCAGCTCATCTAAGCTAGGAACTCAGGGTAGGCAGAGCTCCCTAGGCCCAGGCATAAGGGGTCCATGGGCTTTGAATGTCTTTCACCCCTGCACCTGTGTGGGCCCATTTCAACAGCATAGGCCCTCATTACCACAGTACAACAGGGTATATACCTGAAGTCTAACCTCAAATGTTTCAGCTATATGGTGAAGTGGTAGGTTTGTGACATTTGACACTGCTCTGCCCATTAAGCAGGGTCCTCACCTACCCATATCAGGGGCCTGAGGACTGGTGGCTCCACCCATGCCTCCTAGCTACCCACGTCAGGGATCCAAGAATAAGTGGTGTGCCTCAGTCCTTACAGCCAACAGCATTGGGAGCTCATAGTCTGGCTGCAAAACCCACCCATCTACGTGCTCTAGGGAACAGGGACGCGCTTTCCTTCCAGACACTCAGGGGCAGCTGTCAGCCCCCTGCCTTGCTAAACACGTAACACCCTACTGCAGCTAGATACCTGTGCCTACACCAATCACCCATGCCTGTCTAGGACTGTAGGTGAGAGCCTGCACCACAAACTTGATGACTGACTACCTGGACACCTTAGCTGAATTCATACAAGAAAAGTAAACAGACTCCTGGACTCACATACAGTAACAGCTCTAACCACCTGGTGACAGGATATTAGAGCTTGAAAGACACCAGTAATCAAACTAGCTCACACAAGCAGCCTATTTGGGCATATCAAAACATAACAAAACAAGAAGCTATGACACAGTAATCAAACATAAAATAAATATAGTAACTTATTGATGTCTTGGAGACAACAGTCAATATCAGATCACATAAAGAG